ACTGTTCTGTTTCTGAGGACCGCTCAGGGCTCCTGGTTGTTGTTCCGATGACCTTGGATCCTGCAAGCCAAGATTTGGAATTCTTCCATCCCATGTGGTAGATCCAGATGGGGGTGGGTGACCTCAGAGTGCTCAGCCTCTGAAGGCACTCCAATTCCCAGTGGTCTCCTTGGCAGTTGGGATGTAGTCCTTGGTGCTCGTACTGATAGTCCTTGGTGAAGATCTGGGAGTCTTCAGGGTTGGGATACAAGCTTCCTCCTGTCCGCCTGCTCTACTCTGGGTCCCCCCCACCCCACTCCATGTGCTTGACCTCCTGTTAAGAGGTTGTCAGGATCGCTCCTGATTCTGCCCATATGCCGTTTGTAGTTTTACTATTGTCTAATGCAGATTCGAGTCTGTTTTCTATGAGTTACCAATTATGATCCTGGTAGGTTGTATTTCACGTCTTCCTCACACTTTTTAGGGAGATGGAAGATTTCTCTGCTCTCCCACCCCATTATGGAATAACATAGTATTAAAAGTATATTCAGTTTTGTAATTCTTTGATGTAAATCATAAGCAGTCTGACTCACATTGATTGTTGATTCATAGATTACATCGCATTATCTTATTGCATTAGATACAGGCTGTTTGAGGTTGAAATAATATTACAATATACAGGTACTATTTTCCAGATTGACATCATTTCATCTTAAATTAAGGCAAACATGTGGTATTTAACCTTTTGGGATTGGCTCATTTCCCTTAGCATAATAGATTCCAGTTGGGCCCATTTGGCCACAAAAAGACGGTATTTCATTTTTTTTTAATAGCTGAGTAGTATTCCATGGAGTAAATGAACCATAGCTTTCTTACCTAGTCTTCTGTTGATCGGCATTTCTGTTGCTTCCAAGTTTTTGCAATTATTGATTGTGCTGCTATGAACATAGGGGTGCATGTTGATTTCCTGTGAAACAGATGTTTTGGATATATTCCTAGGAGTGCTATTGCTGGATCATATGGTATGCTGATTTTCAGCTGTTTGAGTGTTCTCCATACTGATTTCCATAGAGGCTGTACCAACTTGCAGCCCTATCAGCAGTGGAGTAGGGTTCCCTTTTCCTCACATCCTTGTCAGCAAGTGTTATTGGTTTTTTGTATGTGTGCTATCCTTACTGATATTAGGGACACACCTGCTTTTATGGTCCCCTCTTACTCAGTGCTTTCTAGGAAGGTAGAAATGATTTAGATGGCTGGTGAATTTGGGAGAAAAATTAGAATAGCTAGATCCCTGGATTTTTAATCGTCTTCTTCCTTCCTTCCTTCCTTCCTTCCTTCCTTCCTTCCTTCCTTCCTTCCTTCCTTCCTTCCTTCCCTCCTTCCTTCCTTCCCTCCTTCCTTCCCTCTTTCCTTCCCTCTTTCCTTCCCTCCTTCCTTCCCTCTTTCCTTCCCTCCTTCCTTCTTCCATTCCTTCCTTCGTTCTTATAAAAGGTCTTTTTTTCCCTAAAAGGATTTATTCATTTGAAAGGCAGAGTGATAGAGCAGGACAAGGAGGTAGGGAAGCATGGTGGGAGGCAGGGAGAGATAGAAAGATAAGAGATATCTTTTGGTCGTAACAATTGGCTGAGTCAGGTTGAAGCCAGGGGCCAGGAATTCCATCCAGATCTCCCACAAGGTAGGGGTCCAAGTATTTTCTGCCATCATCTCCTTCCTTCCTAGGTGTATTAGTAGGGAACAGGATCATGAGCAGAGCAGATTGGGCTTGAGCAGGTGCTCATATGGGATGCTAGCTGTGCAGGAGACTCAACCTGCTGGACCACTGTGCACTATCAGTAACTAAGCTTCTGACTTTGATCTAGCTGCTCCCTGCTGTTCTCTTGGTAGGGTCTAAACTTTTTTAGAGTACAAGAAGAGATCTATTAGTTTGCTTAAACTTCAAAGATCTCATTTGTCATTATAATAGTTTGTATGTGTTTTTCATCTTCACAAGAACAAATCTTCAAGCATCAGGAACTACATTTCACTGATATGCATTTCTAATGATGCACCTTGTAGCCCTCAGTGAAGGTAGGTAGGAGTGACGATTGATATTTGAAACCTTGGTAGGGATGTCTTAGCATTCTCTAACTCTTCTGCTTACTGCTTCCCTGCAATAAAATAAGAACAGAAAAAATAATCTATTTAAACCAATTCTATTTAAGCTTTATCCTACATCACCTGTTATTGCCACCATACTCACATCCTTATGTTACTTATGTAACTCCATTAAATGACTTCATGCTTAGGTGAATGTATTATGCATTTCCAAGTGTTATGTAAATGTGAAGCAGTCACCTCATTACAATGTGAACAATGTGAATATCTTTATATAAGTGTGGCCTCTGCTTTTTTACCTCCAATTGGTAAATGGGCAGTGGGAGCACAGCAAAGGGGAAGAGGAGTTATGAAGTGAATCCTTTTTTTTTTTTAAAGATTTATTTATTTTTATTGGAAAGACAGGTTTACAAAGAGGAGAGACAGAGAGAAAGATCTTCCATCTGCTTGTTCATTCCTCAAGTGACCATAATAGTTAGAACTGAGCCGACCCGAATCCAAGAACAGGAACTTCTTCTGGGTCTCCTGTACAGGTGTAGGGTCCAAGGCTTTGGGTCATCCTTTACTGCTTTCCCAGGCCATAAGCAGGGAGCTGGATGGGAAGTGAAACAATCAGAACACAAACTGCTGCTCTTATAGGATCCTGGCATGTACAAGATGAGGATTTAGTAGCTGAGCCAACGTGCCAGGCGTGAAGTGAATTTCTTTAGTATTTTCTCTGGATAGTATAATTGGGTTGCCACCAACATGTCCAGCATTATCCTAATTATGGGCCCACTGTGAGCCAATATAAGACAAGAATGAAAAGCTTAGCTTTGGGAGCCACACGCTTGAATTGGAAACTAGATTTCACTCACTGGCTGTGTGACTTGAGAGGCAGTGGCCTAACAATCTGAGTCTTCTACATAGGTACCTGGGACCCACATCTGCTCCCTTTCCCAGCACATTAACAAGGAACTGGATTCAGGTGGGTCAGTTGGGACACAAACCTGCATTCATATGGGATGTAGGTTAATGTGCTGCATTCCAATACCCATCCCAAGATATTTTTCTTGATATTATTTTTGTGGCTAATATAGTATAACAACTAGTAATGTATAATTTACATTACATTAGATGTTATAAATAATCTAAAAATGATGTAAAATATACAAGAAGATGTACATAGGTTATATACAAATACTATGTTGATTTAAGTTAGGAGCACGAGCATCCAGGGATTTTGTTGTTCTTGGGAGTCACAGAATCAGTTCCTAGTGGATCCCAAGGGATGACAATGTGTTATTTTCAGGGATCATTATGAATTTTCTTGGCCTTTTCTGGGAGAAAGAACAATCCAGGAGATCTGAGCAGAGATCACTCCTCCCATTGTATGCTTATACTCTTTCAGACGAAAAGGAAATAATGAACTTTTTAGTCTGAATAATGAAATCAAATAGCAGCTCTGTATATTGAACAGACCTATGTTAATGGGAAATGAGTGTGTTGGAAGTGTCCATAACCTGAAGAACTAGGAGAGAGGACTTAAGCAGGAATGTTGTGATGGTCATTGCTCCATTGGTTCTTTCTGTGAAGGAGAAATGACACTCTTTCAATGTGGCAGAAAATAAATAATACCTGAATATGCAGCTACCACAGTTAACACATTCAGAAGAGGAAACTGGGGTTTTTTAACAAAAGAAATGAAGGGGAATTTGAAGTATGCAAATCAAAGTAGGCATGCATTTGTGAAATGAAGTCAGGTGACAACGAGTGAAAGAATGGGAGGGATAAAATCAGGAAGACGCTAGCCAAATCGCTGACTAAAACTGGGAAGAGAAAGGTACTGTTGTGATCCTATTGGACACAGCCATGCCTTAGCTGAGACAGAGAAATGGCCGCAAAAGATAACACCGTTCTGGATTTGTTCAGGAAATAGTTCGGTCACCAAAATGAAAAAGCTCATCAGAGAGATCTTAAAACGAGTGTTTAATGGAATAGGTGGGTTGTTTTCATAACTTGTCTCAGCTTTATAGAGTGTCTTGTTAAACTCTGCCATATGATAGTCACAAAACTTTGTTGTGTGACTTCAGGGCTGTTTGTTGCTCTATGTGGGTAAAACATGGAAATGCAGTGATGAAGATCTGCACCTGATTCAGAGTTCTGCCCCTTTCATCCTGCACAGCCGTGACCAAGTCATTTTTCCTTGCTGAGACCATGTTTCCTTATTATGATTATTTTTTTAACATAAAGATGGTGTAATAGACACTGTAGCAGGACCTACCACAGTAGCCTAGTGGTTAAAGTCTTCACCTTGAATGTGCTGGGATGTCATATACGTGCCTGTTCTAATTCCCGTGGCCCCACTTCCCATCCAGCTCCCTGCCCCTGCACTGGGAAGGCAGTCGAGGATGGCTCAAAGCCTTGGGACTCTGTACCCGCATGAGAGACCTGGAGGAAGTTCCTGGCTCCTGGCTTAGGATCGGTACAGCTCCGGCCATTGCAGCTACTTGGAGAGTGAATCGTCGGACAGATCTTCCTCTCTGTCTCTCCTCCTTTCTGTATATATGCCTTTGCAACAAAAATAAATAAATCTTAAAAAAAAATAGACACCATAGCATTGTGTGGTAACTTTTAATTAAAACGCGTTTGTGCTTGCTGCATATTAAGTAACCAATAAAGGCTAGTTGTTGTGATTATTGTGGGAATTGGGCTATTATGGGGAGAATTTTTTTTTTTTGGTTTTTATTTTTCACTGAAGATATTTCTTTCTGCTTTTGTTATGTTTGGTTGGGTCAAGAGAGAGGTGATGATGAAGAGCAGTGAGAGGCAGCAAGTGAGGAGTCTCCTTTTTTCAAAGACGAACCCCTTATGTCTTCCTTCTTTACTACAGAGGTGAAGGTCACGTCTGGCATCATTTAAGTTTCCAGTAATTTAGAGGCTACCGCTCATGACCTGGGAAAATTCCTCTCCAACACCTTCCACAGGGCATCCTTGATCTCTTTGTTCCTTAAACTGTAAATGAGTGGATTCAACATGGGGATCACAAGTGAATAGAACACAGACACCACCTTGTCCCTACCTAGTGAGTAGCTGGAACTGGGTCTCAAGTACATGAAAAGGGCTGTCCCAAACAACAATGTCACCACCATTAGGTGTGAGGCACAGGTATTGAAGGCTTTGCATCGGCCGTCCAGGGAGCGGATCTTCAGGACAGCAGACACTATGTAACTGTAGGAAATGAGGAGAATGAGGAACGATGTCCCTCCAACAGCAACCACCACCAGGAAATTGATCACTTGGCTGAGGAAGATGTCAGAACAAGACAGGGCCAGGACTGGTGGGAGGTCGCAGAAGAAGTGGTTGATAATGTTGGGACCACAGAAGTGAAGCCGGAAGATGGAACAGGCCTGGATCATGGAGCTCAGGAACCCTCCCACATAGGCGCCCAGCACCATGCGTGTACAGAGCCTCTGAGACATAATGGCTGTGTAGAGCAAGGGGCTGGAGATAGCAGCATACCGGTCATAGGCCATAGCTGTGAGGAGGAAGCATTCGGTCAGACCCATCCCGACAAAGAAGAAAAATTGAGCTGCACAGCCCATGAAGGATATGGTCTTCTGCTTCTGGAAGAAGTCAGCGAGCAGCTTGGGAGCCACAGCAGAGGAGTAGCAGATGTCAATGAAGGACAAGTTGCTAAGAAAGAAGTACATTGGTGAGTGCAGTCGAGGGTCATTTCTGATCAGAAAGATGAGGGCCAAGTTCCAGGCCAAAGTCACGAGATAGATGCCCAGGAATGTCACAAAGAGGAAGACCTGCAGTTCCGGATGGTCTGTGAATCCCAGTAGGATGAACATGGTCACTGAAGAACTGTTGTAGGTCTCGGCTGTGTGCATGTTTTTCATGGACCACAGGGACAAGATGTAGACCTGGATAACGAGAATCCTTGTGCAGGGAGTGTCAACAAATTATTCCAAATGCATGCGAGGGAGGGAGGAGGATTACAGAGGGTTGCAGTTTTACCCAAAAGCTCTATCTTTACCTTTTCTTCTCTCCTTTGCCCTCTGCCCATCTTTTCCTCAGTTTTTCTCTATCCAAGGCAATTGCAGTTCAGTGTCCCAAATACGTAGGCAGCATGGCATAGCCAATAGAAGTCTAAATTTAGGATTTAGACTTTCTGAAATCAACTGTTCTCCACTGTTTATTCATTACATCGTTTTGGATGGCATCTCTTGCTTTAATTAATTTATGTTTGAAACTGAAAGATAGTGATTACTTCACAGATTTTTAAGCATTGCATTTGCATTTCTAAAGTTAATATAAAGGGAACAGATTTCATGTTTCATATATACAATTTTAAGAATGCAATGATACTTCCAACCCCTCTCCAGCTTTCCCTCCTACTTTCTTTCTTAGTTCTCTTTTAATTTTTGCGATGACATACTTTCTTTTTTGTGTATGTGTTTAGCGTAGTCATTTTTTCCAAAATATAAATACTTTACATTTACAAAGAAGTCACATTAGTGGGTTGTCAAAGCAAGTTAAAGCTAAGAAACAATATCATTGTAAGAACATTTACCACTGTACCGGAAACCTCTTTTTTGCTTTCAAACCATGTCTCCTTTGCCTGAGAATATACAGACGGACAGTTTCCAAGAGGTACCTAAACAATTACAAGGACATGTCCGTTCTTTGTTTTCAAATCAAATGATATTTGAAATGCACACCAATCACCTAAACCAAGTGTCAATGCAAAGGACAAAGAAGTTTTCTTTGGAAGGGCTACAACACTTTCTGGGCCACTGCACTACTGAACAAAATGATGTTTGGTAATAAACCAAAATGACATTTATGCAAGATTTGCTTTTATGCTTTTTGTTGAAAAACACAAAGCTAGAAAAGCAGTAGCCAAGTGAGGAGCAAAGAACTTTGGACCTGGAGTCAGAAGTTCTGCAAGTGAGTTCTGGCCCCAGGGCTTTGTGGGAGATGACATACTTTCAATTTACCTTATAATCACAAACTCAAATGGCTATAGACATAAAAAAATGCTCAGGTTCCCTACCTGTTAAAACAAAACAAAACAAAACAAAACAAAACACAATGAAGTTGTACCAACTCCAGGGAGATTGGCCTATGTGCAGAAATCTAGTACTAACAAAGAAAGTGGGAGGACCTGTGAAGAACTTTAGCATGATTGAATGAAGGTGTGAAATCTCATAGAGAATTGCAAGATATACTTAAGACAGTTTTACTGTAGCTTCCACTCACGGTGTGGAGGACCCATCTTTTAGCAAGGCTGAGGTCTGAAATCTGTGTTGTGAGTCAGCACCACCTCGCCATACCTGTTCAGGTTAGCAGGAAATAGCATAAGGTTGAGGTCATGATTCTGATTGTGCTTCAGGCTGAGCCTGATTCTGATGTGATTTGGCCACTTGTCAGCTGTAGATAGCTGGGCAACTCATTTAGCCTGAGTTTTAACTTATTATTTAAAAAAAGAGGTACTAGTTATTACTTAATTGGAGGGTCACTTATGATAATACATGAAAGGTTTATGAGTTCCAGATGGTACTTATATGTGCTGCCAAAGCAAGCCCTCAAGATATCACTTATAAATTTACTGACTTTTTTTCCTCCAGAGAAACTGATTTATTGTTATTTATAGATTTAGTTCTTATTGAGCAACATTTCCTCCTCATGTGATAGGTTGAAATGTGCTTATCTTATATAATGGGGAGCTCACTGATGTATCATGCAGGTTCATAAAACATGTTTAGAAGTGTGGCTGAGGTATTAAATTATTTTAGATGGGGTCAATGTGTTAACTATAATCTATTTGGAATAGTGTGCTAGAAGAAAGAGTTTGCATATTTATTTATTTCTTTATGGAAGGATTTTCATAGTTAAGGATGATATTCTAGTCCCAAAAGTAAAAAATTGAAAGGAAAGGAAGGAATCAAGGATTGGTATTGTAATAATGCAGCAGGTTGGGTAATATCTGGTATTTGCTGATAATCATGCACATGAACTATTCGCTGATGGTCAATAGCTGAAGTTTATTGACATAGAGGATTTTAAACATGGAATGTCACGTAGGAATAAGGAAGGAGGGTTTGGGACAGGATGTGATTTGTGTGCTAGCAGCAGAGGGCATCAATGAGTAAACAATGCATTCTGGCAGGCACCTCTATATGATCTGCTATCTAAACTTGAGGATTAGGAAGTTCCTGACCTGTACATCTCCCTATCAAATGTTTCAGACCTTTGCTCTGAATTCCCAGAGCTTTCTCACAGGATTACAATGGTTATGGCTTTGCACAAGTGAGATTTCCCATTATTCTCTCATAATCAATCTGTCTTCCTACAACCTGGGAGGCGGGCATCCCATATGAACACTTTTTTTGTTCCTAGCTGCTCGAGTCGCAGTCCAGCTTTCTGCTAATGTGCCTGAGAAAGGAGCAGAAGATGGCTCAAGTATATGTACTCGTGTCACCCAAAATGGGAGACTTGAATGGAATTCTAGGCTGGCCCATCCTGGCTGTTGCAACCATTTTGGGAGTCAACTCTTCTCTCTTCCTCTCCATCTCTGTAACTTTACCTTTCCAATAAGTAACAACAACAACAACAACAAAGTTTACCTAGAGTCTTATTTCCACATATGAAGTCTCCTGACTCTTATTCTAGAAGTTGAAAAAGAAAGCGTGAGTGCTGTGCATGAAGAGGTACCTCTTCTTTTTCAAATAGCGAGTCAGCAAATATAGGAGGCTCAGATTGGGCTGAATCTGGGCGCCCTACAATTCTGCTGTGTTTAGATGAGGACTGAGTTGCTTAAACTCATGTTTAAACTTCTTACAGTTGGAATAGGAATATCTGAAGAAGAGATGCATTTATTTTTGTGTGAGTGGTTTGGTATAAAGCAGGTTTACTCTGTTGACTTATTCCCCTCTGTACCTGCCTGCTTTCCTTTTGTTGTTTCCTACCGTGTTATAGGGTGGCTTGAGATCCTCACCACTCACAACCATCCAGTCTCGGACTTCCAACCTCATTGTTGTAAATGACCTATTCTCAGATTTTTCTGTTATCACAACTGAAAAAGGAATAAGGCAAATCCCAGGATTTAGATATGATCAATGCAAGATTATATGAAACAGCTAAAGAAGTAGACCTCATTGGATTCATAAAGGCTGAGTTGCATGGTCATGAATATAAATTTTGAAGGTTGTGTAAGATTCAATTATTCCTTAGAATAAGACATCTAGCAAAGTATCTTACATATAGAGTTGATCCATGAGTTAGTTCTCATTTCATTGTATATCTGCAAGAGGGTGTTATATTTTGTGACCAAATGTGTTCAGTTGAGTTCAAAAGACATGGAATAACGGTGAAGAGACTCACAGCAGGCTTGTGGAGTTCAGAAGATTCTGTGGTTGCCCCTGATCAGGGCTCTAACCTTTACCTTGTAATGCTTTATTCTCTTACACCCATAAGTACCCAGCTTTCTCAAGATCTCACTTTTTCAGATCTTTTTTGTTCTTTTAAATGAACAAATGGCTGAGAGAACTGAAATAGTCCCTCTCAGTGCAAGGAGACAATTAAAAAAGAGTCAAGCTTTAGTTCAAGGATTGATTCCGATGGCAAAATTCATAGCATGAGTCATAAAAGATAAGGAGAGTTTTGGAGGTGAGGCAGGTTCTGTGAAATGTGGGAGAAACTATGATACAGGCTCGATTCAGATCCTCCAGCTTACTTTTCAGTCCATTTATGAATAATTGGGGCTGTATTTAAGGGCATAGAAATCTCTACAGAGATTTAATTTCATCTTAATTCTCATGCTAATTGTGAAAACTCGAACATGTTTCAAGTAATCCTTAAAGGAGGTGAAGGGCAGAACCAAAATTGGGCTTTTATTCCAGCACTGAAGCAGCTTATTCTGCAGCCTGTCTCAGATCATCGTGATGAACAGTATCTCTCTTTAGATAACTTAGTTTATTTTAAAGGATTGATGTTATGTTTGTTTTATGCTGTGTTGGCTTCTTACAAAAGTTTTTAATGGATATTCAGTACATTTATGAGATGAAGAATTCAGTTCATTGTGACTTTCTGAAGACTTTAAACATGCCACTACATTTTTAATAATCAGCCAGTTGAAAGGATTCTTTTAATTATTTGTAATATGGTTCATTTAAGACTTAATGAAGAATACAGTCCAGATTAGAAGTACCTATCAGTAGATAAATTGTGTACTGAGTAAACTGTTCAACTGACAAATCAAAAGCATTGAGATATCTGAGGCAGATAACAGTTTAGTACAAATTCCGGATTTCTGTGTGTTTTCACTTGAAGAATGCTCAATGGTTACAAAAGTATTCCGTCTGTAAATCAAACTTTGACATATTCTATTTAAGTAATTCATGACTGTCAGGGACACTTCAAGAAAATATACCTCAGAATTTTGAAAAGTATGGTCTCTAAAGGAATGAGCTGTCAAACAAAACACATGAGGATTCTGCTAAATGAAAAAACTCTATCTGAAAATGCTGTATGTATATAATTCCAAATGTATGATATTGCAGGAAAAATGAAAACTATGGACTCAGTAAAGAGACCAATGATGATGGAGCAGGGAGGGAGAGGGATACAAGCAGTGCAGAGGATTTTTAGGACAGTGGAACTACTCCGTGTGATGCTGTATTGCTGGCTTCCTGCCACTGGGCATTTGTCTTAACCCACAGAATGTTCAAACAGTCCTGATGTGCATTATGGACTTCAAGGGATAATGATGTGTCAGTGTAGGTCATTAATTTTAACAAAACATTGTGGTGGAAGGTGTTGCTGTCGTGGGCGGCTAAGATGTGTGGGGCAAAGAGTATGTAGGAAATCTCTATACAATCTGCTCTAT